GTACTACATGTGGACCACTCTCGAATTTGTTCATTTCATAATGATATCTTTAATTTTCTAATTTTGGTGAATATTTTTTGTCATTTTTGGTAAAAAGTGATATTTTCGACTTGTTAAAAACGACAAGTCCAAATGCTTTGATATTACATATATAGGTACATGTGGACCTCTCTCAGATTTGTTCATTTTGTAATGATATCTTTAATTCTCTAAATTTGGTGAATATTTTTGTCATTTTTGGCAAAAAGTGATATTTTCGACTTGTTGTTGAAAACTGTAAGTCCGATTGCTTTGATATTACATATATAGATACTACATGTAGACCTTTCTCAGATTTGTTCATTTCGTGTTGATATCTTCAATTCTCTAATTTTGGTGAATATTTTTGTCATTTTTGGTAGAAAGTGATAATTTCGACTTCTTGTTAAAAACTGTAAGTTCGATTGCTTTGATACTATACATATTGTTCATTTTCTAATGATGTCTTCAGTTCTTTAATTGAAATGTGCATTGCTAATAGCGAAGCTATCTCAGCCGATAGGCTGCTTGTTCTGTTATTGTTTTGTCCCATTTGTCGTAAAACTTGAATTTGACCCCAGATTTCAGACCCATAATGATAAAGTCTTGCCTTTGACTGTTTTCCACAGATCCTACCCATTTTTGCACCGTACTGTAATAAAATGTGTGTATTTTTATAAATATGTTTGTTTCTTCTTTGTAAAAAGTGTTGTGAAGATCAATGACAACTCATTTCGCATTTTTTCCCTCAAAAAGACGTAATATTTCTCTGAGACTGGCACTGTGAATGAAAGATGTAATTTAGATAATTGTCTTTTCTGAGGTAGTCTACCAGTATAAGCCCACCCCCTAATTTACCCGATTTTACATGTTCAGGCATCTGGGCTTATGATTGGGGAAGTATGGTAGAAGTGCATGCACTTGCGTACATATCCGATGTATTTCTATGCCAATATTCATATCTTAACATTACAGTATTGTACACAATAGATACAATTTTTGCTTTAATTGAGCTTCTATTACAGCCTATGTGGTATAGATAATTACCGTACTCGACCGCGTTAGCGCCCAGGGGCCTCAACTCAGAAAATCATGATTTTTTTAGGGGTGGGCGCTTACCCGAGCACCCCACTCGAAAAAGAGTGCAAATG